CAAAATAAATATAGAGGCTGCTAGTGAGTTTAGAAAATGGCAACATCTGGATATTTGAAATCTGGGATGACAACTTGATGCTGTTCTTTTAAGTGATTGGTATTTTTAATTTTTCTGCTGATAAATTAATTTCTTAATATCAATTCTTGATACTGTTATGGTTCACTGGCAGGATATAATGAGAATTAAATATGTGTATTAAGAACCTGAATCAGAGCATTATACACATTTATGAGGCTATTATTTGCCAACTTTGTATAATATTATTAAAATATTTAAGTAATAAACATTAAATGTCTCAAGGTTCTATGAATTTAAAAATGTAAGCACAATGAAAATTGTTGTGGGCACCAAGGTAATATACATTGCAAACTCTAAAGACTCCGCTGAAAAAACAAATCAAATTAAATAAGCCACTTCAGTATACTTGAAAAGTACAAAATCAACACATGACCATCAATTGCCTTCTTATATGCAAAAAAGGAATCAGAAGAGAAGAATTTGAGAAGGCAATCTTACATATAATCACAAAATTACCTAGGAGAAACGCTAAAACAGGAAGTGAAGATAAACAGAAAATTGTAAGACATTCTTAAAATAAATAGGAAACACACACACACACAAAATGGAAAGATATGCCCTCCTCATGGACAAGAAGAATCAGGATTACAAAATATCCATCGGACTCAAAGCAATTTACAGCTGCATGCAATCCAAATGAAAATTTCAATGGCATTTTCAAACATATGAAACAAACATTACAGAAAAGCATATGGAACTACAAAAGACCACAAACAGCCAAAACAGTCTTGACAAAAATGAGTAAGAAAGGAGGAAGCACACTTCCAGACTTCAAACTGTATAGTAAAGCTCTAATAGTTAACAGCATGGCACGGGGACAAAAGCAGACACAGACCCCTGGAATATAATGAGGGCCCAGGAACCCACCCTCATCAGGAAGGACAGTGACTCTACGACAGAGGAGCCAGAGCAGGCACTGGAGCAGGGAAAGTGGGGAAATGGTGCTGGGAGAAGCAAACAGACACACGCAGCAGAGTGAAGCAGGTCACTGCCCCACACCCTACAGAAGAATAGACTCAAAGAGGTAAACGCCTGTTTCCATGTGTGATGGCACCATCGTCAGGCAGCAAACCTAAGTATATGACACCATGAGCAGAAACCCTAAAATACTATTTCCTAAAGATTAAAAGCAAATTATCCCAACAAAAGGACAATTCTAATGTAAGTGCAGTGACAGGTGCTGGGGTGGAAAAGAACCACAGGAGACACAATTTCAGAGATGAGTAGTTTCTCTTCCTGAAGGGCTGGTGACCCCCGTGGTCACTCACTTCTGCTGGACGTCCATTGTCTTTCTGCCCCACTCCCCTCCCTTGGCTCCCTCCTGCCTCTCTCAGTGTCCCTTCCCTCCCGCCTCAGGCCTTCCCGCATCCCCCTCACGCCCATCCCCAGGGCCTCTCCATGAAGGGCACACGGTGGGTGACGGGCGACTGTCCAGCTGTCTAGACAGGGACTCAGGGCACTGTTATGACTGATGGTGCCCACCACGGCGGACACGACAGGTGGGGAATGGAACCTGGAAATGAGGATTTGTCTATTCACTTCCATAGAGGCGTGAGCCAGACACAAAATCACATCTACACACCGAGTGTGATAATTACTCCCTGAGAAGCACTGCAGGACTCTCCAATTAACACAGTCAAGTAAGCACACACTTTCCCTCTGGAGGAAGGTCCCTGAGGGCTGGAATCTGGACAGTGTCCAACTCATGGACACCAGCTCCACAGCTCAAATAGCCCAGCCCTGAGGCCCTGCTCTGTCCATTAGGCAGCGCAGGACGGGGTGGAATGTCCTGTGAGTGCTCAGAGGCGTCCCCACGAGCCCTGACCATGGAGTGAGAGGCCGGGACACCCTCTGTTCACGCCATGGGGACAACCTCAGGAGAGAGAGACCACGGCAGTGGGAACTTCCCCCCAGACTGCAGGTATCTGCCCCCAGCCGCTTGCAGGGGAGAATCCACACAGATCTGAATGACTTTAGATCTCATGCTTTATTTCAGACTTGAGAAAGTATCATAAACTATGCATTTTATAAATTGTGAAAACTGATGCTAAAGTTACACAATGTGTTCAACTTCTCAATGCCGTGTTGTGTTGAGATGACTTGCAATATGAGAAGATATGTTTTCCTCTAACTTAAGGTGTTTAGAAGATTTTTCCTTAAACACATTTGTGATATTAGAGGCATTTCAGGTAGTGTTGCCTCGCATGGGTGGCAACTTTGGGGGCGGCACAGGGCAGCGTAAAAAGGACTCCAAGTGCAAGCAGAGAGACTCCTAGAGGGCCACGTGTCTGGAAGTGACCGCTCCCCGGGGCAGGTCTCACTTGTATTTGGGGGTCACACTCAGGCAAGGCAGGCGAGTCCGTAAGAAAGGTGTGGGGTGCATGGTGGGTGAGGATGGGGATGCTAAATGTCTGACATGAGTTGGGGGAGGGAACAGGAGCTGCTGCGGGGGCTCCAGCCGCTGCCTCAGGATGGCCTGTGTCTAGCCCTGTCACCACTTCCTTCCTGTCACGGTGGTCGCTTGTGAAGCTGCTCTGGCGCCAGTGTCTGCCTGTGTTCCCAGCAGGTGTGCTCAAACCAACACTGTCCTGACGAGAGGCTCCTGCCTGACCCACATTAGCTGAATAATCAGCAGAACCTTCTGGGCACCAGGCAACAGCCCAAGAACAAGGTGCGTGGGGCCTGACAACAGTGTGTGTGACCATCGCTGCTCATGCCTGTGATGTGGGTGCGGAGCACAGGGAGAAGCCAGAAAGTGAAAGAGCCACGACAGTCAGTGACGTACACAGCCACGGGGGGAAACTCACGGGAAAGTCAAGGGACGCTTCTGGCGGGGAAGGGGCCGCGAAGAGCCCGGCCTGGCTCCAGGCCACAGCGGGTCCCGGGCTCAGAGGAGCCGGTTCCCTCAAGACCCAAATGTCCTCTCCTGCCCGGGGGGACGGGAAGGCAGGGAGTGGAGACCTGGAGCAGACACGGGCCCCTCTCACGGGCCCCTCTCGCTGGGGAGGGGGCTGCTCTGAGGACAGGGTGCCAGGCCTGTCAGTCGCCAGCAGGCTGTGGCATCAGGTGAGCGACAGTCAAGGGGTTTTGAGGCAATTTCTGGTGAGACGGATCTTTCAACAAGTGACGTGGCTGCGATGTGTCTGTTTCTGGACAAGCGCTTCGGGGTGATCTGACCTCATCACCCTCCGCGTGCAGGACACTGTCTCACACTGTGACGGGAAGGGGACCCATATTTGATCAGGGCCAGGGCAGAGACGGGTCTTGTGTATTTGTCATGAGACATTTGTGTTTTATGTCACTCAGAAGAATCCCAGGCCCTTGACCACAGCCTGTCCTCAATTATTCCCTTTTCAATTAAAGTATCTGGGTCATTTCCACGAACCTTTCACAGTTATTTCATATCAGCACATTCTCCTAAAAGTCCTGCCTCCCCAGGCCCTGCCCCTCCGTCACCCCACAGAGGGGGGAGAGGGTGAGATTGGGGAGGGAGGGGAGAGGGCAGGGCTGCCCCGTGTCCAGACGTCCCCACTCACGCACGGGCCCGGGGTAAGGAACAAATGTGCACCCGGGGGACCCGGGTCCCTGCGACCGGCAGGGACAGCCACACGCACAGACCGTCCGGCTCAGCACCGGAGCGGCCTCCTCCCTGCACAGAGGTGCATGAGTCTGAGGGGGACAGAGGGGCCGGGGAGGGTCCCGGGGGTGGACGAGCCCATCCTACAGGAGGGACGTGTGGGTGTGACCCAGGAAGAGACTCTGTGGAGACACACTAGAGATGGGAGGAAGATCCTTTAATGGGACATCACAATGTGACGAGCTGGTGGCCGGCGCCACAGCCTGGGCGCACGGAGGAGGAATGTGGGGACAGTGAGCAGAGATGCAGCGCAGGACGTGGGCCTGAGCGGCTGTGGCAGGAGCGTGTGGGGGTTGAGCTGGGAATGCGGCTGCTGAGAGTCCACGGAGCCTCAACACGCGTGACATTCGAGGTCTCTACAGTGAGTGTCTCGAGGGCAGGACGTGGGTTACAGGTTTCTAAGTGGAGGGAGAGGATCAGTGAGTTTCCTGCTCATATGTGGCCGCAGCTCTGGATGCGCCTGACACGGGACCCTGAGGGGCTGGGAGTGTGGGGGCAGTGGGGATGGCTCAGTCTGCTGTGCTGGGCGGGTCAGTGACAGACAGGGGAGGACAGTTTGGGGAGTTCTGAAGGAAGGGGATGTGGCCATCCTTAGTGTCTCTCACATGAATTGTTTGGACAACATGACAGTTTGCTTTCAGAAGAACTGAAAATGCAGTAGTTTGACAGGACAGTGCTTCTTGGAGAATGACTGGGGATGAGACTCGGGAGGACCAGGTGTGTGGGTGCTGAGGAGCTACTGTGATTGACTTAATGCACCCAGTTATGTTCACCTGGGGAGATGGGGCGGTGGTGATTTCTTTCTCCCCACACTTACACAGATGATGGCTCCAGGGGTGACCAATCTCACGGCCGTGACAGAATTCATCCTCCTGGGGTTCCCCACCCAGGGGACTATGGGCTTCTTGCACCCACTCCTCTTCTCCTTGGTCTACCTGTGTGCCCTGCTGGGGAACGGGCTCATCGTCCTCATCACAACCCTGGACCGGCACCTCCACACCCCCATGTACTTCTTCCTGAGGAGTCTGTCCTTCACAGACCTCTGCCTCATCTCAGCCTCGGTCCCCAAGTCCATTGCCAACTCTCTGAGGCACAGCAGCTCCATCTCCTTCCCAGGCTGTGTCATCCAGGTCTTCGTGATGGTTATTTCAGGTGCTGCAGAGTTTCACATCCTTGTGGTGATGAGCCTTGACCGCTATGCTGCCATCTGCCACCCACTGCACTATGATGTCATCATGAGTTGGGACAGGTGTGTGCAGTTGACAGCTGTGTCCTGGCTGGCTGGGGGTCTCTATGCTGTGATGAACACAGCTGGGACCTTCTCCTTGTCCTACTGTGGGTCCAACGTGATCCACCAGTTCTTCTGTGATGTCCCCCAGTTATTGGCTATTTCCTGCTCAGGAAATTTAATGAATGAGCTTATACCCATGCTCATTGATATGGTGTTAGTAACCTGCTGTTTCATTTTCATCGTCATTTCCTATGTCCACATCTTCTCTGCTGTCAGGAAGATCCCATCCACAGAAGGTAAGGCCAAGGCCTACTCCACGTGCCTTCCCCACCTGCTGGTTGTGGTGCTGTTTCTCTTCACTGGATTCTTTGCTTATCTGAAGCCAACCTCAGGGACCTCATCCATGTCTGACCTGGTCATTTCTATGTTCTACACAGTGGTGCCCCCCACCTTTAATCCCATCATATACAGTCTGAGGAACCAAGCCATGAAGTCGGCGGTGTTGAGACTGATGAAGGGGAGACTCACCAAGGAGTAATAGGAAAGTTGAGGTCATGACTCCATCAAGACACTCTTATTTTAAATTTTCTCATAGCACGGTTGACAGAACCTGAGGGGAACCAGAGAGGCTGGAGGTCTCACCGTGGATGGTGGTGTAAGTAGAAAAAGTGGATTTACTTTTTATCCTCCTCAGGAGTCGGGGGCAGAGGCTGGTGTCTGTGGGGGAGGAAGTTGAGGCAGGTTTAGTCTCTGAACTTGGGGCTTCCTGAGTTGGGGCCCCAGGTTTTTGTGGCCTGGAGCCCAAACAGGTATCAGGGGGAGTGCCCTGTATCTCCGGAATTCCCATCAGCCCTAGCGTCTGTAGGTGGGCTGGGCCCTGCTAGTGACCATCACGGGATCCCCATCTGTCATTTGTCAGGGATGTTCCATGGGACCCCTCAGTTCCCTGGTCTGTTGGGAACTCTCTGCTGGGCCGAGGACACTGACCTTGTTACCCATAAACTCAGGGTCCTGCAGGAGGGTGCTGACCCTCCCATCGGCAGCCTGGTCCACCCAGCCTGTGCACAAGTGTCCTGGGTGTCCTGTCCGGGACAAGCACTAACTGTTCTTTGCCCAAATCCCGGGGAGACATCATCAGACCTGGAGGAGTGATGGCCGCCAGAGCTCCAGCTTCTCTGATGGCCTCAGGCCCACTAAGCAGCCCAGCCTGTCCCCTGGGGAGCTGGTCCTGGGGATTGTGGCACAGCATGTTGGGGTTCTAGGGAAAGGAGAGAAAGGCCCGGCAGGTCTAGGATGCTGGTGGGCGGGTCCAGCCTTGGTTCATAGACACAGCAGCGCTGGCCATCAGCCACAGTGGACACAGGGCTGGGGTGGACGTTGTATCCTGTGCTGGTGTAGCTGCCCTAGGCTGACTCCAGGAACCCCAGGTGGGGGTGCACACCCCTCCGGAACCACTGGTGGTGCGTGGCCTCAGGATGGCAGGCCTGGAAGGGGGTGGACAGGCTGCCGGAGGTTCTAGGAACTCAGGTTGCGGCAGGGCCTCAGGAGCAGTGACCACACACACCCACAAGCCAGGATGGGCCCCCCAACACCGCCCACCCCAGGCCTCCAGCTTCACTTGTCCCAGGGTAGTGCCATCTCGCTGGGCAGCTCTGGACTTGGCCTGGTGGATGTTGTGGACATAAATGGGACAGTGCGTGGGCCCGGGACTGTCCATCCCCTGTGTCCTCCACCAGTATCCCCTGTTGTCTAAGACCCTGACCTGTTGGGGCCATGAGGTTCTTGGGGAGTCCCACACCTGGAGAGGGCCCCCTACTCTGCTGTGTCAGAGCCAAGTCACAGACTACCCCGAGGACACACCGACAGCGCCGCCTCGGGACTGACCCGCACTGGAAGATAAACACAAGCTTCCCTCACACATGACAATAGTTCAAATGTGATGACAGAGTCACAGGTGGTGAGAGTAAATGGCATTTTTGAATAAAATGATTCTGAGAGACACGAACAAATTCCCGTGTCAGAAGATCCAAGTGCTTCCCCATCTCGCTCCCGGGCGATTTCTTGGTTTCCCTCCCCGCCCCTTCCTCCCCCTCCTGCCTCCACATGCCTGTCCCCACCTGCCAGGCCCAAGAGGGCGCACAGGGGGTGGCGGCGACTTTCCTGCTCCCTGTGACTTGGCTTATCTGAGGCTCTGACAACGGGGCCACACCAAGTTCCCCCTTCTGGTCAATGGAGGCTGATGGAGCCTGAGGATGAGGAACCACAATCCAGTCCTCACAGGGGTCAAAGCAATAAAACTTCATCTGGCACACTCAGTGCACTAATGGTCTCTGAATGTGCTATAGGACAACGCCAATTAAGACAGTCAATGACAACAACACATTGCACTTGCCCTCTGGAGGAGGATCCCTGAGGGCTGGAATCTGGACAGTATCCAACACACAGACACCAGCTCCAGAGCTCAAATAGCCCAGCCCTGAGGCCCTGCTCTGTCCATGAGGCAGCAGCAGGACGGGGTGGAACATCCTGTGAGTGCTCAGAGGCGTCCCCAGGAGCCCCGACCATGGAGTGAGAGGCCGGGACGCCCTCTGCCCGTGCATGGGGAAAACCTCAGGAGAGAGACAGGAGACGGCAGCAGGAACTTTCCCCCCAGACTGCAGGTATCTGCCCCCAGCCATTTGCAGGGGAAAATCCACTCACACTTGGAAAATTTTAGATGTCAAGCTTCATATTAGACTGGAGAATGAATGCTCCATAGTTAAACTATTCACTTTGTAAATCATGACAACTAATGCTGACGGGGCCCAAGTCATCATGTCCCACTGCCCTGTCAGCCGGGGTGAGACTCGGTGAGAGAAAACACATTGTTATTTGAGGATCTTCCACAAATTATGCCCTTTTAATTTATTCATTATACGGGAAGATTTCTATGATCAGCCTGGCAATGTCTCATGACTGATCTTAGCGTTCTATCAGTGTGTATTAAGTGTTCCATCAGATCACAACAATGATTATTTTGTAACTAAGATGAATTTCAAAATCTTTATTGCTAAACTTCCATTTGTTATCCTAATATTATGACAGGCATGAACATAGAAATTCAATTTTTATGACAATATTTTTGACTCTTTGGCTCTGAAACTAAAGTGAGGGTGGCATGGACACCTGACTTTTATGGACATTCACTTGGGTTGTTCCCCAATTCCGCACTCCAGGATTGTTAGAGATATTATAAAGTCACAGTACCTAAATATGGAGGGAAGAATATAAAAACTTACATCATAAGTATAATATGTACTTTAAATCTCTTAAAAGATGTCTATGGATTTGACCACATGGTTTCCCCATTTAATTTTTAGTTCTTATTAAATTATTTAGAATTATTTCCACTAATGTATTTCCATCAATTTATAACCAACATTCTCCATTAAAACCCGACCATCACCAGGACCGTCACCCCACAGAGCGGGGAGAGGAAGAGGTTGGGGAGGGGGAGGAGAGCGGGCAGGGCTGCCCCGTGGCCAGATGTCCCCATTCACACACAGGCCTGGGGTAAGGAACAAACCTGCACCCGGGGGACCCGGGTCCCTGGGACCAGCAGGGACAGCCACACGCACAGACCGTCTGGCTCAGCCCTGGAGCGGCCTCCTCCCTGCACAGATGTGCATGAGTCTGAGGGGGACAGAGGGGCTGGGGAGGTACCCGGGGGTGGACGAGCCTATTCTGCAGGAGGGACGTGTGGGTGTGACCCAGGAGGAGACTTTGTGGGAAACATGGTCTCTGGGCACTCAGATGTGGGGAGTCAGGTACAGGGACATGAGGAGATGAGGGGACGGACCAGGAGTCAGCAGTGAGGCCACAGGGGTAGGAATCTGACAGAGGAGGCATCAGGACATGCCGCATGGGGACGCTGAGCCCAGATCATTCAGTTCCAGGACAGTGTCAGGTCCTCGGGAGCAGGAAAACAGAGACCCGCACACCCCATCTCCCTGCACACCTGTCACTGTGGGGCCTCCCCAGACCAGGGCTGTGCTGGAGGAGCAGGGACAGGTTCTCTAGGGTGGGGAGGGGCTGGGCATGGTCACGTGTCCTCTGGGACTGTGCCCTGGACGACCTCTGGGAGGTGTGCTAGGCGGAGACGCTGGGGCCCGTGCAGGAGGCAGGAGTAGCAGGACTGGGGCGAAGGGTAGGGGCTGTGAGTCGGTTTTGTTGACACATATGAGATTCCAATTGTACAATTTTTGTAGAGGACAGTTGAAATGTCAGTTTTTCACCCATTGCAAGAACAAATATTGAGAATGTAATAACGGCACATTCACACGAGGTAGAAATAAATGGGTTGAATAATGAAGTATATGAAGATGCTGATATTTGACTCAATATGAGCAAGAAAGTGTAATTCTGTGGAAAATGGATTGAATTACTGTCCTCCCATGATGAACTATGTTCAATGGTGGAAGATTTGTCAGTTTCTTGATATTTTCTCTTTTATACAGATGATGGATCCAGAGGTGACCAATCTCACAGCCATGACAGAATTCATCCTCCTGGGGTTCCCCACCCAGGGGACCATGGGCTTCTTGCACCCGCTGCTCTTCTCCCTGGTCTACTTGTGCACCCTGCTGGGGAACGGGCTCATCGTCCTCATCACCACCCTGGACTGGCACCTCCACACCTCCATGTACTTCTTCCTGAGCAGTCTGTCCTTCATGGACCTCTGCCTCATCTCAGCCACGGTCCCCATGTCCATTGTCAACTCTCTGAGGCACAGCAGCTCCATCTCCTTCCCGGGATGTGTCATCCAGGTCTTCATGATGGTTATTTCAGCAGGTACAGAGATGACCCTGCTCACGGTGATGAGCCTTGACCATTATGCAGCCATCTTCCGCCCCTCTGCACTATGATGTCATCATGAGCAGGGACAGGTGTGTGCAGCTGACAGCTGTGTCCTGGCTGTGTGGGGGTCTCTATGCTGTGATGAACACAGCTGGAACCTTCTCCTTGTCCTACTGTGGGTCCAATGTGGTCCACCAGTTCTTCTGTGACATCCACCAGTTATTTGCTATTTCCTGCTCAGAAAATTTAATGAGTGAACTTGTCCCCATTCTCATTTGTGTGGTGTTGACTATCTGCTATTTCATATTCAGTGTCATTTCCTATGTCCACATCTCCTCTGCTGTCAGGAAGATCCCATCCACAGAAGGTAAGGCCAAAGTCTACTCTACCTGCCTTCCCCACCTGCTGGTTGTGGTGCTGTTTGTCTCCACTGGATGCTTTGCTTATCTGAAGCTGACCTCAGAGACTCCGTCCATGTCTGACCTGGTCATCTCTATGTTCTACACGGTGGTGCCCCCCACCTTTAATCCCTTCATATGCAGTCTGAGGAACCAAGCCATGAAGTCGGCTGTGGGGAGACTGATAAAGGGCCAATTGTCCATCAAGTGAGATATCACATTCTCCATTATAACCCTCATTTATTCATTTTTTTCCTGCACTTTTTCATGTCCTCAATCACAAATGGACTTTTCTCTTACAGTTTTTTCTTTGTCAGAAATGTATATTCTCATATTCTTCCTTGGAATCTATTTCCGTAAATTAATGCAGACTTTTGCAAAACCCTTCCCTATGTGAAGCTCATAAACTGAATTCCAGGTCATGTTAAAAAAATGTGATGTTGTTTGCAACAAGTCACACATTTCTGACCAGAAGGAAGTCAGAACTCAGAGGCCACCAACAGTTACTAACAATGACAAGATGCAAGTTGTTTTCTCCTGGAAGCACTGGTCATGGGTCCATGTTCCTGGCACTCAGTTCCCACAGCCTGTGTGTGTCTCCACTGAGGCCCTTCCTTGAGTAGGGGAGGGGAGACAGTTGAGTGTCCCCCCACCCCTCACAATTCCTGATGGGGCGTCTTCCTCTAAGAGACATTCATGTTTCTGCTCACAGGTCTTGTTGTAACCACAGTTGACATGAATCCGCAGAGGTGGGAGTTGGATGGATGACCCGGGAATTGGAGTCTGGAGCTGAAACCTGTCATGGATATGACTGTTACTTTCTGTGACATCTGACTTGATACTATCACACTGTACTCCTGTGATGCAGTGTTTTTTTTTTTTTTTTAAAGCAGATGAATTGTTTTTGAGCCACTGCTTTACTACTTCAAAACTTAATGTTCAGACCTTTGTTGTTGTGTTTATTTTCAGGCACCCTGAATTTTCCAAATCGTATCTTGATTCCTCTACCATGTCTTCTTCTTGACATTGTTTTAGATAACTTAAGTTTGCTATTTTGTACTTCAGGAACTATGTTATCTTTTCATATGATGTAAAACTTTGTATAAAGTAGGGCATGACAATATTTATGAATTTTTATTCTCTGGCAGCAACTGTGCTGTAAACCTGGGGCCTCACAGCTGTTCACCCACCCTGAGAACATGAGCTGGGGTGATGCTCCTTCCTCACGTGTCCTCTCTGTAGCAGGACACTGTGTCTCCAAACATGCCTGATAGATCATAACAGACACAGGCCAGGCAATATTTCTCTTATAACATGCACGTTAACCGCCAGACCAAGCCCATTGAGATTTCAGAATAAAATCTGTGTTGGAAAATCTCCCAAAGAGTGCGCCTGTCTCCAAATCGCCATTTTAGAATAGAGACCTTTCTTCAATAAAGACTGCTTGAAACCGGCAGAAGGCTCACGGAGGAGCCAGAGGTGAGCTGGGAAGTTCACTCACGCCAGGCCCCTTCAGGCCAGCAGTCCAAACCCAGAGGGGGAGTGGGCACCCACAGCTGGGGCAGACCGGGTGGTGGAAGAGTATGGCTCTCTCCAAAGCGCCATTTTAAAACAGGGAACTTTCTTCAATAAAGACTGCTTGAATCTGGCAGAAGGCTCCTCGTGGAGCCAGAGAGAGAAGGTTCCATACACAATCAGAGGTGAGCTGAAGGCCCCCACAAGCCCGGTCCCACCTGGCAGGAAGTCAGAGCCCAGAGGAGGATCCAGAGATTTGGAACCCAGATTGCAATCCAGCTGCCCCACCTCCAGGGAAGTCTGTGGGACTTCAAGACGCACCTTTGTAACTAAACACAGAAGAAGGAGAGATTTTGTGACAGTGACCATTAACATACTCAAAGTACCACTGCCTCACTAGACTTCTGGCATAACAGTTTTTGACTCATTTGGATTGCCAGTTTCTAAAACTCCCAAAAGAACACACCAAAAAGATGCCAGCCAGTACAGCGGCACAGTGTTCCAACGCATAAGGCAAATTAGAAGACAGACAGCAGGGAAAAGAAAAACTACAAGCAAAGTAGAAACGCCTCAGAAAAAAGACATACCACACACACACACAAAAAAAAAAACACCCACCACCTTGCAACTACGGTGACTTGGAAGAACTTCTGAGCCTTCCAGAAAAAGAATTTAAAATTGCCGTGATGAAAAAACTGATGGAAGTCATTAAGGAAAACAATGCTCAGAAGAATGAAATTGAGTCCCTAAAGAGGGAAATGAAGGAAATGCAGGAGATCAGAGGATTAACAGAAGAGCTAAAGAATGCTGGGAAAAGCAGTGATAACAGAATAGAGGAAATGGAAGAACGAATAAGCACTCTCAAAGACACAGAAATAAAAAGAACCAAAACAGAAAAGGTAAGAGAAGTACAAATGAAAAAGAGTGAAGAAAGACTTTGGGAACTATCTGACTCCATGAGGAAAGGAAATATAAGAGTTTTAGGAATCCCAGGAGAGGAGAGAGACCTAGGAACAGAGAAAATATTCAAGGTAATAATTGAAGAGAACTTCCCAAACATGAAGAAGGAGCTGAAAACAGACATTCAAGAAGCAAGAAGAACACCAAACTTCCATGATGAAAGGAAAAAAAAAAACAGCAAGACACATAATAGTAAAACTCCCAAGAATCCAAGAGAAGTAAAAAATAATGAAGCTGACAAGAGAGAAGAAATAGATAACATACAAAGGAAAACCAATAAGACTGACATCAGACTTCTCCAAAGAAACACTTTGGACAAGGAGAGAGTGGAGGCATATAGGCAACAGACTTCAAGACAACAGATGCCAACCCAGAATACTCTATCCTGCAAAGCTTTCCTTCCTCTATGAAGAAAGAATAAGGACCTTCCCAGACAAACAGAAACTCTGGAATTTCATTACAACTAAACCCCCACTCCAAAAATTACTATAAGGAGTTATTGCTAGTTTTTTTAATATGTGCCATTCTCACTGGTGTAAGATGGTATCTCATGGCAGTTTTGATTTGCATTTCCCTGATTACAAGAATGATGTTGAACATTTTTTTCATATGCCTGTTGGCCATTTGCATTTCCTCTTCAGAGAAGTTTCTTTTTAGCTCTTCTGCCCATTTTTTGACTGGATTATTTTCTTTGTTTTTGTTGAGTCTCATGAGCTCTTTGTAGATTTTTGTGATCAGTCCTTTATCATTAGTTTTGGGTGCAAAAATGTTCTCCCATTTGGTGGGGTTTCTGTTTGTTTTTGTTATTGTCTCTTTTGCTGTTCAGAAGCTCTTTAATTTGATGTAGTCCCTTGCTCATGGATTGGAAGAATAAACATTATTAAAATGGCAATATACAGATTCAATGCTATTCCAATAAAAATTTCAATGTCATTCTTCAAAGAAATAGAACAATTATTGATGAGATTCATATGGAATCACCAAAAACCCCGAATAGCCAAAGCTCTTCTGAAAAAAAAAAAAAAAAAAAAAAAAAAGGACGGGAATGGAGGCATCACACTCCCAGACTTCAAACTATACTACAAAGCCATAATCATCAAAACTGCATGGTATTGGAACAAGAACAGACACACAGACCAATGGAATCAAATAGAAAATCCAGAAATAAACCCACAGATTTATGGTCAACTAATCTTTGACAAAGGAGCAAAGAATATGCATTGGAGCAAAGAAAGTTTGTTCAATAAATGGTGCTGGGAAAACTGGGTTGCTTCATGCAAAAGAATGAAGCTTGACCACTACCTCACACCATACACAAAAATCAACTCAAAATGGATTAAAGAACTAGACATAAGACCTGAAACTATAAAATACATAGAAGGAAATATAGGCGAAACACTACGTGATATGCACATCAAAGACATCTTTACAAACACATCACCCAAAGCAGTGATAGTGAAGGCAAAGATCAGTGTCCTTATTTTTAGTTTCCAGTGGTCTCCAGGATATAACTGGTTCCTAGGTTTGGGCAAATCCCCAAATATAAAGATTGCCTCAGTCTGTTTGGGATGAAAACTTAGATTCCAGGGTCCCTGTAATTTGTTTCTGCTTCTGCTTCCAAGGACAAAAGCCCCTCCTCCTGGGAATCGCCTGACATTCTCCATTCTTTGGATCAGGGGAGGGCCTAAGAGAGCCCCCAGGGCACTGGCTAGGAGGATGGGGAGGCTTCTAAGAGAGCAGAGGATGGAAATGGGGACTTTAGGGGACAGAGGTGGAAAGGTGTGCAAGGGGAGCCAGAGAGGACCGGGCAGGGAAGGGACAGCACGGGGGACACTGAGGGGGAAGGTTGGTGTGGGTGGCATGGGCTCTCACTGGGGTCTGGAGCGTCTGTCTCACCTGGGGGGATGCAGCAGTGCTGGCCTGTAACTGCCCAGAGGACTGCGCACATCTGGGGCCTTTCCTGTCCTTGCAGGGCTGGTGTCACCCACACACAGGCACATGCTGGTGAAGGAGAGGGCTGTAACAGGGGGGTCCCCAGGGGAGGATCCAGGCTCCTGCCCCACCCAAGGAGGGTGGAGCTGAGCATGGAGAAGCAGCTGGAGAGGAGGCTGAGGAGGAAGGAAGCAGGATGGAGGCAGAAGGAGACCTGGGGGAGGCACATGGGGCAGAGAAGCTGCACTTGCTTCTTGGCCTTGGACTGGGTGACACAGATGTGGGTGAGAAATCCATGTGGAAGTGACAATGGCAGCTTCTATCTTGATTTTGGTTTTTCCTTCCAGACTTGTCAGCCCCGTCCACCCTTTTCTATGGATCAACACCAGGAGGTGCTTTAGACTATGACAGGCTTTCAGGCCCTGCTTTGGGCCAACCCCGTTTGGCTGAACATTTACCCACGAGGGGATGGTGACTTTGGTGCTTGATTTGGAAACTTTATTCTTTCCTTTTTCTTTGTTGCACACTAATTGTAGTGAAGTTCCTTTCCATTAAAGGAACTTAGATGTTTTGTTTTAATGCTGCAGATGGCAGAGAGATGGGGGATATAGATGTATAAGTGAAGCCCCCAATGCAGAATATCCCCCCTCAGTGCATGAATGCTGGGGTGCCAGGGACATTCAGGGTTCTAAGAGGAGAGCAGAGCAAGGCCTGGGCCGCCCTGGAAGACCAACCCTGGAGGCTGATTCTGGGACTCCAGGGCTCCACTCCCTGCAGGTGAGTCAGAGTCAGCCCCGCTCACATCTGCAGGAAGCCAGAGAGCCCCTCTCTGCCATGACACTGCGGACACTACTCTGGGTATAATGTGAAAAATAAATGAAGAGCAAAATTAAATGGAATCTAAAAGCAGTAGAAATAGTTTTTACAATCACGTTTATTTTGAAGGACATTTCAAGGGACATGGAATCCTGGCCTGACAGCTCATTGTTATCAGGACCTTGACTGTCACGTGAGCTACTCTGGAGCACCTGTTTCTTTTGAGAAAATAGCCACTGATCACTTTATCGCCTTAATTTTTTTAATGGTCTGTACCAAATCACTTCGTACTTTGCACCTAAAACAAAGATCTGGCATCTCCACAGTCTCTGAGGGGGAGGCGGCAGGAGGGTCCTGACTCAGAGGCTCCAGCTCCGGGTCCCACGAGGCTGCGATGGGAACAAGATGTTGGCAGATCTGAAGGGCCATGATCAGCGTGGAAGGATCTTCCCCTCCCCAGCCTTGGGCAGCCAGAGCCCACTCTCTGCTTCTGGGAACAGGCCTGGGAACTTCTCTCTAAATATACCCCAGGTGACCCTGATGGCACAGACTTGCAGTCAGGCATTTGGGGTCCCCAAGCCCAAAGCATGCTGTTGCACAGGAACACACTCCACTGGGTGCTGGGGTCACAGAGAACCACGTGACTCCGCCCTGGAGGCCCTGCAGCCTGGGGTGTGTTAGGAGAGAAGGGCTGCAGTAGCTGCCTGAGAGGGGGCCAAGGCAGAGCCAGAGAGTTTCCTTACTCAGCAGGAAGGGGACATGGGAACTGGGTCTTGAAAGCCAGAAGTGGGCACAGGAATAGAAGTGGCTCAGGGAGCTGATTGAAGGCCGACTATGTGACCTCAGCAGTTACTTTCTCTGTGTGACCTTGGGGGTCCCTCCCCAGCACTCTGTGTACTGGGAAGTGAT